TTTGGTAGAATTTCGAAGCAAAATGTTAGTTCCCAAAAATGCAAATGTTTTGCTCCTTCACATATTGATAGTTTTATATTTTGTATCTTCAAAATATTCCTACTTTCTGTTTTGAAGCTTCTGTGCGATGCCCATTGAGGGAAGTAGAAAAAAATAGTGATGGATATAAAACACGATTTTGTAACTGATGGCAAATAAATGCTTTCAAATGGTTGATGCCCTTTTTATATCTTTATAGTCCTGTACTCCACGTGTTATGATTTGTGACTCTTTATGTAGGATGGAATAAAAAATGCCTTAAAATACATTTTTCTCTGTGAAAATGCTGCTTCCAGCTCTTCCACTCCAGTGCTCTGTGATAGTGTTGCTATAGTATAGGAAGTGTGTCTAAGCCGGTCTGTTACATTACTGAGTGCACCGAGTCCATATCTGGTGCCTATTACACTGTACAGTCAAATTGTGACACCCTGCCTAATCACTGTAACAAGGAAATTGCAGGTCTATCTGACTGCATATCTATTTATGTTACTTCAGCTTGGCTTTAATTCAGACCTATACTTAAAATGTAAAGTTTGGCTGTCCAGAATGGATTTATTAGCACAGTGTAATATGACAAAATAATCAGAAAACAAAGCACCTTTAGCCCATCATTGCTAATAAGAAGCAGCCAAGAACTTCCTCAAATCGCATATATTCCACACACTCCAGCTTTACAGGACTACATTGAAGGGGCAGTATCTAGGAACAGGCAGGGTTGCCCAGTGATAACGTGCACCTACATTTATATGGAGGCCTCTTTGCAGCTGCACTCCACTGTGAGATGGATAAAAGGGGGCCTAGGCAAAGAGTAGCTGCAGAATGTCTGCTGTATATGCTATATCATTCACCACTGAGATCTGAGGGATATGTTTGTGGGAAGATGTGTAAAAATAGCTATTGCACACATATGCAGTGTTCAGTAGGGTTGAGTTCTGAGCTCTGTGCAGGCCACTTGGGGTCCAAACTTTTAAAGTCATGTCTTTATGGACCTGGCTTTGTGCACCTGAACCAAATGTGGAGGGGTTGTCCACATAGTTTATGCATTAGGTGGGATCATTATGTGTTTATCAAGGAAACAAGAATTGTTGGTGGGGTGAGAACCTCTGTTTTGTTGTTGCTGCCCCCTTGAGATGCACATATTCATCTTTCCCTTTCCCCAAATCTGTTTCTAAGGGATTGAAAAGAGTAAGCTTGAAGTCGGGGCCTAGAAATTGGAATCCAATACCTAAAGCTGACAACTATGGTCATAATGAGGATAGAGCTGAGAGTCCCGGGAGTGAAGACCTGCCCATCAAGGCTCCTGGAATAAACAAGAGGGAAGGTGACTTGCTGATGCCATCCCAAAAGTGGATTAGTTCTAAGGGGAATTCCCCTTTAAATTTAGATATTTATACACGCGGTTAAATCCAATGACCGAGCATTACAATCCAGTTGTGAGGACACAGGGATTGAGATAGAAAAACTGTCAAATAGAAACGTGTTTGTATTCCAACAGTCATTTTATTTCAGTACAATTTACTAAGCTCAAAGTACTCTGCTACGTATGAATTCCATCTAAACTGACCACATACGTCCAATGAGATAGCAGAAAAACAACAAAACATTCTGTGAAAAAGAAATAATAAAAAAAAGTGACAGTTTTCTGCCGTCCCCATGGCTCCATCAGTCAGCCACATATTGAAAAATGAAGAAAGGACCTATCTGGTCATTCCTTCTCCTCCATATTGTACATCTAAAATAGAAGTACCATCAAAACTAGGAGTGTTTTCTTTTAAAGCAGAGCTCTTTGCACATTTTGCTTTAATATACCCATCAATGTGCATAACAATACTCAGCTGGATATCTCCACTTTGATACAACACAAGGTATTCAGACTAGAAGCAGTTAAAGTGTATTTATAACTAAACATGTTTTTTCTAGTTTTGGATAGACTAAGAAAGGGTTAAACCCCCTTGGCCAGGTTATTATTTGATTTGTCTGTGTACCATTGGGGAAATGTAATTTTACTTCCTGTCCCAGAAAACACAACCCGAAGTTAGAGGACATTTCCCAAAGTGAGAGGAAGTCCCATTTTAAACAGCTCTCTCCGAAAAACAAGTATTCCCATTGGACCATTTCCTCTTATCTCTGGTTCTGAGGACACTTAGCATTTTGGGTATCTTCTTAATTTCTGTCTCGATGATAAGGTCACCAGGGCAGATAGAGAGGGTTAGGGTTTCTTAGCTTCTTAAGGGTTAATATTTCTACTTGCGTCTCCTTTTGTAATGTTAGGAGTAAAGTAAAAGGAGTATGTTCATTAACATTTTTAAAGTAGATTTGAACACTGACTGTCCTAACAAAGGGTTAAAAGATTACAACCCTGGCTTCTACATTGTATGTTAATGAAGTTAATGAGATGAATACAATCCTCAAATTTCAGTCCTAAGTCTTTCTATAAGGACAGATCACTGTGAAGTTTCTTAGAAAAACCTGAAATGAGGGAAAAGATACACGGGAATCTGTCAGCTGCCTACATCCTGCTGGGATTCCCAAAGTCTTAGTACAGGTAAAGCAAAGCTATTAACTAGGGATGCGCCGATACCAGTACCAATATTTTTTTCCCGGTATTCACAGATGCAGAATAACAATACCAGAAGCCCCATTAAGGAAGCCAGGCGGCGTGTAATGACTCTCTGCCTGGCTTCCTGATTAGCAGGGAACCCGTCCCCATGCTTCTCATCACTAGGTGACGAGAAAGCATGGAGCCAGCTTTCTGGCCAATCAGGAAGCCGGGCAGAGAGTCATTACACGCTGCCCGGCTTCCTGATTGGCCAGGAAGCCGGCTCCATGCTCCCTCTTCATGAGGCGACGAGAGAGCATAAAGCCAGCTTCTTGGCTTCCTGATAGGTCAGCTTCACAGGCGACGAGGGAGCATGGAGGCGGCTTCCCGGCCAATCAGGAAGCCGGGCAGCATATAATGACTCACTGCCCGGCTTCCTGATACCAGAAGTAACGGGCCAGGCATCGGAGCATTTGGGCGAATACGAGTACTCGGCCCAATACTCGGCATTGGCACCAGCGCTGCCCGTGTTCCTGATTGGCCAGGAAGCCGGCTCCATGCTCCCTCTTTATGAGGCGACGAGGGAGCATGGAGCCGGTTTCCAGGCCAATCAGGAAGCTGGGCAGCGTGTAATGACTCGCTGCCCGGCTTCCTGATACCGGAAGTATCGGGCTAGGCATTGGAGTATTTGGGCGAGTACAAGTTCTCACCCAAATACTCAGCAGCGATACTAGTATCGGTGCATCCCTACTATTAACCATTTAAATGATAGAGCCAACTGGAGTCTGCAGCTAATCCCTGCACTGACGTACTCCCCACAGAGCCTATTCACGCTCACCTTCAATCTTGCACCGTTGAACAGTCTCCTCTCGTATAGCAGCATTTCTTACCCTGATTTACTGAACACTGAGAGCTTCTTGTAATGTGCATTAGAAGCTGCAGCAAGTCAGATACAGCCCACCTCACTTCCTGTCTGGAGGACATCAAGCATCATCTAACGCTTTCCTCCTCAGTTGTAAATTGTTTGATCATTCACATTTTTGCTGTCAGCCTTAAACCTGCGGGTTGTTGAAAGCTTAAGTTCACTTGAATTTTTACATCAATCATCGCTCATATGGAACAGGTCGGTGTCTTAAATATTTAAGGTGCACATAAATGAAAGGGCTTCACCTCTATGATTAAGCCCAGGTGGTGAAACGCATTAGAGAGGCGTTGGCGTGGTGTGGGGGATGTTCATGGTCATGTACACGTTGCTTACCACTCTCTTGGATTTACTTTTTGAAACCTGTTTGGACGACTTCAATACATTTTGGATTGTATCTACTCTGGCTTCATGCGGCTGATCTTTTGGACAGGCTTTCCTCCCCAGGCTTACTGTCCCTGGCCCACCCCTTCCATTCACTGGCTTTCAGTTCTTTCAGTCATGAAGGCTCAGCATTACATGGGGGTGTTACCACGGCTTTCTCATGTCAGGAAGATTTGTAAAGCGCCCTACTGGTCCCTCCCACCAGCCATGATCTTCCTGCATTGCATACAGAAGCACCAAGACCAGGTGATGATGTCACTGGGTCTAAAAATAAGGTGTCATGAAAACAGAATGATTTTTTTTTAATAGTTTCATTAGCATGTTCATGAGGGCGAAACATAAGCAAATTAAACTTCAGCTTTAAGTTTGCTCAGTACTGGCAGTCAGCACAGTATCAACTTTTTTTTAATCCTCTGGATGCACAAATTGTCAGCCTCTCAGATTTCGAGGGAGTGTCAAGATTGCAATTTCCCAAGGGTTCTTTTGAGAACATTTCCAGGGCCCCATAACAACAAAAATGTATAATTGGGGACACAACCTTAAACATAAAACAGAAACAACAAAAAAACAAACAGCTGGAACCCCATTTGTTGTCAGAATTTCCAGTCCTGTAATTATTACAAGAGCTGGAGCTCTGTGAATGGAGATGTGTCTAGCCCTAGCAGAGCAGCAATCACATCTGATATCCAGCTTCTACAGGAAGAATATATAGTGCTCAACAGGAAGAGCAGCAAGCTTCTTTATCAGACAGTCCTTCTTGCTGCAGCCAGCAGCACAGAACATAGTTGTGTACTGATGAGTACATTGCCAGAGGCTCGAGCCTGCGGCTAGCCATACACTTGCAGATTTCAGCCTTAACAATGTACAAATCACTTGATTCCCCCTGAACAGCGTGGATGGAGAATCTCCCCTGCTGGGTATTGGCCTGAACATTGACTCTTTATGACTGGATGCAGTCTCTGTTTGGAGACAATTTCCCACCAGGCTCCTTTGATTTTTCAGTTGAAGTTCATGGAGACGGGTGGTGCAGACCAGCTCGGATTTTTCTGCTGAATCACCAAAGATCGAGCCGTGTACGTCTAGCCTTCACGGGCCTTATTATCCAGGACAAGTGTTTTCAGCATTGCATTCTCTATGAAATGTCAGGCAATGTTAGAATAGAAGAAGTTGATAGATTGCACCATGAGGTCTACTGTCCCACATACACAGGTTGGATCATTCGGTCACATGGACGAATTGAGGAATTCCAACAGTTCTGCTCGATTCCTGTCTCTCTGAGGAAATAGAAGAAAAGGTTCAGTGTTACCATAGACATCCTTTAGGTGTAGTACAAATGTAGTGGACCCGTCACATAACCCCAGACACACCCTAGAATGCTTTTATTATTTATTGCAAAGTAAACTGTCTTGGGGGCGGATCACAGAAAACCACCCACCTACTGGTGCCAACCGGACCCACACTGCGCCCCAATTCCCCACTTGCAGATACCGAGTTTCTTAGGAGCTGATATTTGCATATGGGCCGACTTCCATCTAAAGGTGCCAGTTACCAAACTGTTGGCAGAAAAAAAAATACTGCATTCTACATCCATCTAACATGGTTAGTCTTTTCCTGGTTCTTAGAGCCAGGCCCCTGATGGCAAGCGCCAGATCCTCTCTCCTCCAAAGCTAATGTCTCCAGGGATATGTGGCAAAGACATCTCTGGAGGCTGCAGGGGCAGGAATATACTGTATGTCATTCTCTCTTAGGTGAGAAAGAAGGCGAGGGGCGGGCGTGACTGGAAACGTCTGCTTTTTTTTAGATTGTGCAGGGGGAGGAATACAGTAGTGCAAAGTGTAATGTTGATGTGAAGGTTTGCTTAAATACAGCCAGAGACACCAAGCAACATTGCAGAAATATGTTGAGACCTATCAGCACAGACCCTGGCCAGTGTAAACTTTGCTTTGTTTGCATTGAGCCTGTTTACAGTCCGCAATGTACAGAGTAACACATTTGCAGACCAGGGTTGCAAACAAAAGGAAGACCTCTTCTCCACACTCATTTGGAACACAAAATGCAAGCCCAGGAACAGACAGACAGAAACCCTTGCAACCCTCTAGTGTAGATCCAGCAGGGACATCCTAGATCCATCTAAACTAAGCTTCTGAGCAGCAGCAGGGGTATAGCCACCAGAAAGTGCTTCCCCTTTGTATTTACAGTTCAACCTCCTGTAGCTGGAACTACACTCACACACTTTAAATAACACAGTCCGGTGTCTTCCAGTGAACACCGGAAGAAAAAATAAATGACTGCAAGGGTAGAAGAAAAAGGTGCAGCACACTTTCATGAATTGGGGTCATTTACCTCTTTGTCCTCTTTGCTCTTTTTCACTTTCATTTTAATTTTCTTCCCTGTTATCATACTGTAGTTCTCATTCTTCTTCTTCTCCTTAAGGTACTGTAAGATACACCAATAACATACAGATCAGCTAACAGAACCGCAGGGTTTCTGGTTCTCTAGGACACAAGAACTGCAGCACTGGAAGTGAAAGTAAAACATGATGAGGTGCTTAATGTTAATCCGCTCACAATGGGATTCCCTTTAGTCTTTATTAGCCTACATGGAATTGTCCTGTTAACATGACCCCTAACCCGTTGTGACCTAGTTACATAAGCAGATCATATCTCATATTGTATCATTGGAAATCTCTGATTATCTTCCTAGCATCCAATCTCCAGCTAAAAAGTCAGCAAGGCTGTATTTAGACATCGTGATACCCACTAGGGATGCACCAATACCGGTATTTTGGTACCGATAAATTTTTTTCGGTACTCGCCGATACCAATTACTGAGTAACGGAAGTCCCATTCAGGAAGCCAGGTGGCGTGTAATGACTCGCCACCTGGCTTCCTGATTAGCCGGGAAGCCGTGCAGCGTGTAAAGACTCGCCACCCGGCTTCCCGATTGACAAGAAAGTCCCCTCTTACCTTAGTATGTGCAACCTGTCATGCAATTATTTTAGGTAAACTGAATGCTAAAATGCACTACTGGAGGCAGCATAGGGTCTGCTTAAAGGGTTATTAAACCCTCGCGTGTTTTTGCACATATTATTAAAAGGGTTTAAACTTACCTTGTGTCTTCGACGCGTGCTCCCATCCGAACTTCTGAAGAATCTCGAGTGCAGGGCTGGATTTCCCACAAGGCCAACCAAGATGGGCCTTGGGGCAGCATGGGTGTGGAATTCCTAACTCTTGACGCCCGGGACATGCAGTTCCAGGCGCTGGGCGGTTAGTTGTTTTCTACATTTATCACAGCTTTGGGCAAGCAGGGCTAAATGTACAGCAGGGAAGCCTCCTGTTTTGTACAAGTGATCTCAGCGATGTCGCCGAGATCACTTGTATGCAGCCTGCATACAGGGGGCGCATTGAGGAAACTGGCATTGGGGCAGCAGAGAGAGTAAATCCAGCCCTGCTCGGGCGGCCGCAAAGGATCTTGGGGCGGGCGCATGCGCACTTCAGATGTTCGGCCGGGAGACGAGGAGAGACACAAGGCAAGTCTATGGAGCAGCGTGCACCCGCACAGACTCTGTGGGACGAAGAGGAGTCAGCGCTGGATCGGAGACCCGCACCAGCGCTGGAGAAGATGATCAGATTAAGAGACATCATTTAAGGTAAGTCCCTACAGCAGGATTGGGAAGGGGGGAAAAAGGTTTGACTTTAATGTCACTTTAATGTATTGTTACTTCTTCAACTAAAGACACTGCGCGATCTCTAATATTATAAAACTCTAAGTGCATATACTTAGTGACAATTATACAACATGTTCACTCCAACTTATATATAGTCCATATAAAAATGTTCCCAACCTGATATGATGAAAAATAAATGTGATGAAATCCTTAGCGAGTGTGCTAGTGTTTGTGCACCTGAACGTGGATCACTGGTGATCAATTGAGGAGGAATTGAAGCACAGAAGTCACGAGTGATTGTAGAACTTTATATGCAATGATTATTTGACTCACTGATGTAATACAAAGAAAGTGAACACAAGGATTTCATCATATTTATTTTTGATCATATCATTTTAGGGAACATATAAGTTGGAGTGAACATTTTGTATAATTGTCACTAAGTATATGCACTTAGAGTTTTATATTAGAGATCGCGCAGTGTCTTTAGTTTAATATAATGTGGGAGAAGTTTAAATAGCTTCTCTCTATCTCTGCAGCTGTCAATAGGGTGTTATTGAGGATTTTGGGGTAGAGCACTATAGCGCGGATAATCATTTGTTTTGTTACTTCTTCAACTGCACAAACCACCAACTGAGAGGAAGTAGAGCTGATTTGAGGTATCTTGAACAATAAAAGGGTCTTCTGACTCCTATCAACACCCCATGCACTTGTCTCCCTGAAAGATCACTCTTATAGTTCTACAGTAGTTCTATAATCTAGGTCATTTCATACAGCAGCACTGTCCTGATCCTACCCATTCAAAATTAGGGCTGCGGAAATTAACGATTAATTCCTCGATTAATCGTTAACATTTTTGATCGTTTAAAATGCTTTTGATCGCTAATGAAAAAACTTACCTCTCCGCTGGCTTCCGGGAGTCCGGTCGGAGATCCAGTGACGTCACGGACATCGACGTCACCGGACTACTCCCCCCTTCCCCAAGTGGCTCCGTCGGCTAACGAAGGGAAGAGGAGTCCGGTGACGGCCAACGAAGGGAAGGGGGAGGAGTCCGGTGACGTTGATGTCCGTGACGTCACCTGACTTCTCCCCCCTTCCCTTCGTTAGCCGAAGGAGCCACTTAGGCCGGTGAGTTTGCCCAAGAAACTTGTTCTGCCCTATCATTTTTTAAATAGGTTATACTTACATGTAAAGGGAACATCACTGTGCAGCCTGCCAATTGACATTGAATCTTTCTTCTACAATCTTCCCAGCTGGTCAGTGTGTCCACAAGTGTGGAACAAACTCCAAGGCATTGGCCTATACACATACAGCACAGCAATGAAGTAATAAAATGAACTAGGATCACACTAATCCAGCACGTTATTATTCTGTGTTGCCCCACTCAAGCGGCGGCCATATTGAGTGGGGCACGTGAGATTAATAACGTGCTGGATTAGTGTGATCCTAGTTCATTTTATTACTTCATTGCTGTGCTGTATGTGTATAGGCCAATGTAGTTGGATCTGTATGCGTGTTATAATGAATCAAAATTAATCGATTAAAAAAAAATTCGATTAATCGAACACGAAAATTTTAATCATAATCAGCCCTAATTCAAATGTTTAACTACATAAAAAAATTGTCACTATCTTGGGAAGCTAGTGTGTTGCAGGGACACTAAATAATGTTATCTCTTCCCCTAAACTGACATCTATACAGGTGGATGGATGGAGGATGCACCTTGGATATCTGCACAGGTCTGGATTCCTCTTGTTTCTTCTTCTTCTTCTTTTTCTTTACTTTGCTGTCTTTTTTTCTTTTCTACAGACAAAATGGATTGTTACCAATCTCCCTTTAAACAGAAACAATTATAGGATTTCCCAGGATCATTTGGAATGATCACTGTAAAGTTTATCCAAAACAAAGATATCAGCTGATTCTTTGTATTTTCAAAATGTTTAGTTGCTGTGTCATATTTTTTTTACAGAGAACTATAGCCAAACCTTGGCTTTTACTATTGTTCTGTTCTGGGTCACAGGAAGAGATTTACTAATGTCCTCCTGTGACCCAAAGTCAGCATACAGTGGGCTACTGCTCACTCTATTCTAACAGGGCAGAGCCGCACTGCAGCCGGGAAAGATCTTGACAATATTGTTGGGGATCCACCCCGCTGCCTGATTGTCAGCTGGCTCTGCCTTTCTAGAGCCAAAGCCAGCTGTGCCCCCCCCTTCCCTTTTCTGTCCATCCAATTAGTGCTGGAGGAATAGAGAGAGGATAGGAGAATGCCTGCGGGGTACAGTGACTGACGGTGCAGGGATTGCTGATCGCTCAGTTCCCGAGCTATAGAGCAGCTGTCACACGCCGGCCCAAAAGTATTGGGAAGAGTATACTTTACTTTCCCAACAGTTCTCCTAGAATTTCTAGCAGCTACTTGTATGGTAGACATTAGAAACCTGTCATGATCCTAAACCTTTAAAAACTAGTTTCTACAGTATGCAGACACCAACTTTCTCTAAGTCAGAAATGGTGGACATCCACACTACTACTAGATCTACAAATAGGTAAGGAACATATGCATCGAAAGGGATTTCAGGGACGTCTTCTCTCAACAAGAAAAATTGCAGCTTTTATTCCTTCTAAAGCCAACAATTTGGCAGACATCCGCCCTGTACAGAGGGAGAAATGTATTTGCAGGATTACAGACAGATGTCATTGACTCATCCGGGTATGAGGAACTACATATCTGGTTTTATTTTAGGTAACAAAGGTGCTCTTATTTTTTCTAATAAAGTCTAGTGGAAAATGTACTGAACAGGAAGCCTATCAGGACAAAGATAAGCCATACACTGTGCACTGACACAGAATGGCAGACTGAACTTACCTTCTTGTTTTGTTTCTCTTTAATGGAGTTCTTAGATTTGTGTTTTTTCACATCTAGAAGATTAAGGAAAAGAAAATATATTAGCCAACAACCTGCATGAAATCTAACTGGTACACAAAGGTCAGTAGACGTGATAAAAATTTTTTTACGAATGCATAATTATTATTTTTTGGGGGGAAATCTGACCGGCGTTTAACTTTAATTTCTTTTTTATGCAACATATTTTTATTCGGGTTTTTCAAGTTTTACACAGATAGAAGCAAGGAGAACTAGCAGACAGGTGCAAGCAGTGCAATGTGGCATTTTTATGGCAATAAGGCATTTCGCTCATCTGGCTGGACCAGCACATAGCAGGTACATTACAAAATAACAAAAGAGGAAAACTGCTGCAACTACACACAGAGCTATTGACATACATGTTGGAAGGGTTAATTGGCACCTGTCTAAAATGGCCCTGTATGTATGCAAGCAGTAGATAGATGCAAAAAGTTTTTTTTTTAAAACCAAACGCTTTAAACTTACCTGTGTCTTCGCCGTGTGCTCCCGTCCGAAAATCTGAAAATGCTCGGGCAGCCGCAAAGCATCTTGGGGTGGGGGATGCGCAGTTCGGATTTTCGGCCGGGAGATGAGGAGAGACATAAGGTAAATCTATGGACTTGTGAACCCGCATGCTGACACTGTTGCACAGGAAGTGCCAGCAAGGACAGAGGAGTCAGCGCTGGATCAGAGACCCACAGCAGCGCTGGAGGGACAGATGAAAACGACAGGAAAGAAGAAGATGATCGGATTAAGAAACATCATTTAAGGTAAGTGCTTTAATTAACATTGGGGGAGGGAAAAAAGTTTTTGCCTTTAAAAAAGGAGAACTATGGGGTTAAGGCTAAGTTCTCCTTAGGGTAACGGGAGGACACAAACTAGCGTCCTCCCGTCACCCTAAGCTCAGTATACCGTGAGCTATAGCTTGCGGTATACTGAGACTCCGCAGCTGAAGCGGATCCCGACAATTATGTCTGGATCCGCCCAGCTGCGTGAGTGACAGCTGGCTCTGCCTATCTGGAGGCAGAGCCAGCTGTACCCGCCCCCTCCCCCGTCTGTTCCACCAGTCAGCGCTGGTGGATTGGGGGAGGAGGGAATCCAGCCCCTCCCCTGTCACGGCAGAGAGCTGTGACAGGATCGAGAAGTGAGCGAACGCCGGTATGTGTTCGCTCACTTCCCGATCTACTGAGCCGACCTGTGACAGTCTCATTGTCACAGGTCGGCTAGAACTATGAGGTGAGTGAAAAGCACTCGCCTCATAGTTCTCCTTTAATGTCACTTTAACTTCATGTTAATGAAGTCAAATAACATTCGTTATAGTTTAGTGATTTGAGTCTAATAAGAGCCATTCAGTTCTATATTTAGTTTTAAATACAACATGGGCAGACATGTTCACAATATATGTTAAGCTGTATGGTACAATGAACAAGAAGAAACGGACGTAAGAGGCCCTCTTGTGGTGAAATCATGTAAACCCCAACATACTGTACATGAAACGAAATGCCATGGTGTTGGGGAAAACCCAATGACTAAAATCTAATAGAACCTTTAACATTCTAATGTAATTTGAAAATACATTTTCAATATTTTTTAAATCTACATCTTTCATTAAGATAATATGAATGATCCCACCATGAAGTCCCAAGTTAGGTTATTCCTGTTAGAGCCAACAATGCACTGAACCTATGTTCCAACTGTGCTCCTCTGTGGTCACCTTGTCACATGGGATTCTAAAAGACTACAAGTGGCTATGCTGATACTCATTCTGCATTGGGCATGTTCCACTGTGGTAACAACAAAAAATTCACCCTGAATAAAGACATGCAGCCATCACTGGAGTACATGTAGACAGAAAGAGGCTGCAGGAGATCAGCAGCAATGAGCTGCAACAGAGGATGAAAAAAGCAAATTAGGGCTGCAATTAATGATTATTTTCACAATCGATTAGTTGGCCGATTATTGTTTCGATTAATCGGATTAAAAAAATTAAATCATTACCATCCTTAATTTAAAATAAAATACACAAATGCAGCGTTACAAACATAAAGTTTACAGAATAAAACGGCAAGTACAATTTTTTGCAATTGCACTGCCCTGGAACACACGGCATTGAGGACCTCTAGATCTGTATTTCAAGAGTAAGGATCGTAACTTTCTTTGTTTAAACGCTGTTGCAGATTCCTATCCATTTCTGTTCTGAAGAAAAAGCTGATTATTTCACAGGGGAGCTAGCAGCGCTTCTCATTGGTCAGCATGGTCAAGTGACCACACTGACCGATGAGTGCTCGTAATTTGTGAGTGAAATTCTAAATCCATAGCGCAGGCCTGCACTGGACAGCAGTACGGGTAGTACACCTGTAACGGTGGAGGGGAAGGACCATTCGCTGAAAGGTATATATAGCGGGAGCAGAGTGGGGGGCTAGATTTTAGCAGGTATTTCCATTTTCCCAAATTACTTGGGAAAGTGAGCTTACCCTTTGATGCACATTGTGTGTGTTAGAGAGCGCTGCTGTCGTGTGGCTACTGCAATATGGCACACAGTGGAAGGGGTGCAGCACTCAATGTGCGCAGACGTGCACACACACACAATGCCCATTTGCATGCAGATGACGAGGGCGATGGGGTTGGTTTTAATTTTATGATTGTTTTCACTTAACTTTTTTGCTTGTTAGCCCCTTTGTGATAGCATTTGGAGGTGACAGGTTCTCTTCATGGAGCCTGCCCTCCAATACAGAAGATTGAGCACAGCATTGTGCTTGATCCTCTGTCCAGCCCGGCTTGTGACAGCTGAGACAGGAAGCGCTGTGAGTACGGCACTCCTGTCTCACTGATCACACAGAGCAGATCGGGGAACAGATGTACTCTGGCCCGCTCCCCACTTTCCATCTTGAAGTCATTTGCCATGGTACCAAGGCCCCAGTAGCGTGGGGAACCCCGAAAACCACGGCAGGGATGTGGGGTGGGAACAAGCAGGCTGCTACAAGTGATCTGGGCAGCTTCACTATCTACAAAACGAGCGGTGGCTCCCCTGCTTGCCCGCCCGCAGAAATTCCTATTGCACAGGATGCCAAAAATATACTTTTTTTTATTATTATAGTATTGATAGTAATTAGTATTATAGTGCAGCCTTCTGGAGTTACCCATTAAGGCATTAAAAACTGAAGCTGCATTCATAAGGCATCAAGAAACGTCTTGTTGTCTGCTTTGGAAACCATTGTTTAACCTCTTGCCGTCCGCCCGTAGTAAAAAAACGGACGGACGGCACTGCAGCATCTGCGGGCACGCACGGGCAGAAAAGACCCGCTAAATGCACACACCCGTTACCGGGTGTTTCACATATAGGCGATCGGCGGGTCCATAGCCCAAAAAAAGGGTATAAAATTCATTTCAGTACAGCGTTGTATGACAGAATAAATGTCAGTCAAAGTACCGCAGCGCTGAATACTGAAAAATGGCCTGGATGGGAAGGGGGTTTAACACCGCGGATGTCAACTGGTTAATGTAACGTACATCAGGCACATATAGCTTTCCACAGTTCTAGAATACACCAGAATTAAAGATCAGAGTTTGACCCTGCTAATACCTCTACTGCTGGAGCTGCTTCTACTGCTGGAAGCTGAAGAAGAGCACGAAGAGGATGACGATGATGAACGTGATGAAGACGACGATGAAGAGGAGGAGGAAGACACCGAGGAAGATCTACTTCGACTACGTTTCCTTTTTTTCTTTTCCCGTCCTTAAAGAAAAGAGGGATAAGTTATTTTTTACAACTGCATTAAACACTGTAGGCTACATTCCTCATCCCAGTTATATCATTCCCATGGATTTCTGAGCTTTGCCTCCACATGGCTGCCAATTCTTTGTTCTGCATTCGTCATAATGTAAAGTACAAGAAAACTCAAAGGAAGAATAAGATTACAACTGGTGAAAGGTGCCGAGATCTTATTACTGAAAATTCTGACAGATTCATAAAGTCAGTGGCCAATACCACCTATTGAATGGGATCGACCCAAAAGGATCAGTTTCAGGGGGACTGACCTTGAAAAAATTTCTATATTTACAATAACGTTGAGTTTACTTAGTACCCGGGCTGACAAATGGATGGCATCTCCTTTAATCAATGGCAAAAAGGCAGGACTAGGTCACAGCCCATTTATGAGACTGCTTGCTAATCCGAGGTCTATAGAAGGGGGGGGGGTTGGGATCAAAGTTTTTATAAGTATTAGTTACCCTTTAAAGAATAAATGAACTTATTCATATACAGTAAAATTAGGGATGCACCGATATATCGGTCGCCAAACCATATCAGCCGAAAATGGCACTCTTGGCAAAATGCTGAAAGTGCCATTTTCTTAGCGATACAGCGGTGCATCAATTGTTTCTCTACCTCCCCGCTGGGCGCTGCTCTGTGTCCCAGCGGGGAGGAGAGAAACTGTCACAGGCGGCCGAGCGCTGCGGGAGGAGAGTGCTGTGAGCGGCCAGTGATCGATAAGTGTCTGTAAATAATTGAGGACAGAGTATAGTTACTAACTTACTATATCCTCAATTATGAATGAATGGGAAGTGATCTACATCACTTCCTGTTCATTCATGATTGTTGATATAGTAAACACACTCTGTTCTCATGTTATGAATGAACAGGAACACTCATAGAGGATTCCTGCACATTTAGAACAGAGGCTGCAGAAAAAGAGATTGAGGACTTTGTGTCCTCAATCCCTTTTTCTATTTTAAAAAGGGAAATATCAGAGGTCTGTTTAGACCCCTAATATTTCCCCCAAAGCCACTAAAAGTAAAGTAAAAAATATTTACTAAAAATGAATAAATAAATATAAATTGAAAAAGTGAGAAAAAAAAAACCATTTTCGGTCTGACATTTTTTTTAATTTCAGTTTTGAAATGTTCTTTTCGGTGCACCTCTAAATAAGATCAAATACAATATAACCTATTTTTGTTCTTAAGGTCCTCTGAATATACTAGATCAAAGATCCTTCCCCCTGATAAAGATATCTGTAGACACAAAGCTCTCCCCATGCAATGTATTATGAATAGAGGCATCCTTTTAGATTTGCATGCCAAAACAAACTGCAGCTTTCCCCTCCGCCCTCCCTCTTTGAATATATTCTTATATGGATGATTATTGTATTGTTTTTTAACACTGCAACAATATGAATGCAAACAGCTGTGCGTAGCAAAATCAAGCCACAACGCCATTGTGGGAAGTGCAGGCAATGCAAATTGCACAAAGCATACAAGGCGTTCTGTGATTGGACAAGGGGAGATTGTTACATTCCTACACCCCCTGTCCAATCACAGAATGCATTGTATGCTTTAAATAGTATACGAGATGTTTTCTGAATGGAGGAGCTGAAAGGCAAATGCCCCGCTGTGATCACTGATGGTCAGTTTCACCCCAGGACCTTCAGCGGTGATATCACCACCACAGGCTGCACGTAGGTAACATTTTTCAAGATAGAAGCAGCAGCCACCAGTGGGGCGCATATCATTACAGGCACCTTATTGGTCTCTAGCTATTTCCTCAAGTTTTTGCCCACACTTCAACAGCCAAATCAAAATCTTTTGAGATTACTTGTGCCCTTTTATATGTGCGTCTGTAATTCTAATACCTAAATAATTACCTCGGTCTCCACAAGAGGATGAGGACCTCCTCCTGGATTTATCCCCTTGGCTGTCTGTCATGCCTGTAAAAGAGAACATAGTGAAAAGACTATTTAAGACACATATACACGGCCAACTTAATAGTCCATTTAATGTAAAGTCTATCTACCAGCATAGAGTAGAGTAGGTGTTGCTAGGGGAGGAGCCCTGTTATGCCAAAAAATGCTAGTACATGCCTTTTTGATGCGATTCCATTGAAGTCTACGAGACCTAAAACTCACTTTGTCACACACAAAGCATTTCCAAAAACACACCACAGCACAGATGTGACCGGGAACCATAGGAAATGATGGATTCCTCTTGTCTGGGGTGGACTCATAGATGTGACCGGGAACCATAGGAAATGATGGATTCCTCTTGTCTGGGGTGGACTCATAGATGTGAATGGGAACCATAGGAAATGATGGATTCCTCTTGTCTGGGGTGGACTCATAGATGTGAACGGGGGCTCACTGTTACATGAAAAAGTTACGTTTGGGCATTAACATGGAACTGAAGCCGACAGGGAATTTGAGCAGCTCATGAGCCTGATGAGTGGTAACAGAGCACTTCCTGGTATGTAAAGGGTGTCTAGGCACTGCTGTGCTTACATCCTGACAGTGGTATATCTGCAGTGTGAGATCTCAGGCACTGCTGTGCTTACATCCTGACAGTGGTATATCTGCAGTATGAGATCTCAGGCACTGCTGTGCTTACATCCTGACAGCAGTATATCTGCAGTGTGAGATCTCAGGCTCTGCTGTGCTTACATCCTGACAGCAGTATATCTGCAGTGTGAGATCTCAGGCACTGCTGCTAGTCTCAGGAAACATGGAGTGGGATTTAGTGATGTCACTATTGTGCAGCTCACTGTTCACCTTGCTGGGGGCTCTGACATGAGGAAGTAATGGCCTGCCTCTACCAAAGTGAATTCTTTCAGCAAAACAATCATTAGAGTTTGCAGTCATATCATCGCACCATCACCTTTTCTAGGCCCCATGATCTCCTTTCAACAATTCCAAAAGAAGTCACCAGGTGACATCACTAATAGGCCATGACCTCTGACCTGCGGCTGAAGGGTCAGTCTCAAAAGTATACAAAGTATATCTATATACCACAGGATAAGCTTTCCATACCTAAGCCTGCACAGTGATAATGAATATATACTAAATATTCACAAGCACACCTAAGCCTGGTTCTCTTTAATGATCACAAGAGCTGCCAGGCCATGCTGGGAGTTGTGGTTTCACAGATTTTTCCCCCCCCCCCCCATTACTGACCTATTTCCTTTCACCTCCGAACCATAAGTCACAAACACTACCCAAATTTCACCGCTCAGTCCCGCTTCTCTCCGCCGCCATGACACCGCTCTCCTCACGTCACTTCCGCCATTAACTAGCAGACACACACCGCCATCTTTACCCCTGGCAGACCGGCGGTGAGAAAGCAAATTCGGTGTACCCATGCAGAAATTAACTCATATTGGTTGTAAATGATCACCTGCGAGAGTTGTTTCATATAATAAAAATCTATCTTCTATCTAGCTTCTGCCCCAGCAAAATATGGCGGAGAAACATTTCCGGGGCGGGGCTCTCGGAGTCCGTACGGTGAAGGGCAATAGAAAGCGGCTGGGTCGGTATTCTGCTGTGCCTTCTGGGGGGCACATAGCTGGCAGGACTAAAGGTGGTGCTGTGCTGCTCATGTGAGCTACAGGACAGAGGTGAGTGGTGTGTCTATACTGATGATGGCCGTGACTGCCTGGTAAGGGCAAGCCATGCACGTGTTAGCCTGGCTTCTGGAAATATGGCCGAAATACAGAGACTTCCACGGAATATCTCCTGAAAATACTAGTTGCCTGGCTGCTTTGGTGATCCTCTGGTTTAAAGTGTTCTGAGTTGATGACCCAGAAAAAAAAATGCAGATTTGTAAAGTCCAGATCTTCTAATCTGCATATTCCATGTCAGTGATGTGGTGTAGTGAAGCTGTGGGATCAGCATGGCAGCCGGGAGTCCAGTATTATCACAAGGCAGCATTGACAGCCCCACACCTTCATAGCTTCCCTGTAAAGCAATCATGCAGACTGCCACTAACCTGTGTCCCTTAAAATGCCAGGTCCCAGGCTGTTATGCTCGTTCTGGACTTTAATTTGAGTCACTGACTTGACAGAGGTTTGTAAATAAGAGATTCAATCCATTAATAATTTCCTGTAAATATTTGTATTTTCAGCTGTGAGAGCTGCATTATAGTAGCAGCCAGGCACATAGCAGTTTCAGAAGGGGGTCAGCCTTAGTAACACCCTCATGTTCCTCATGCCGGCCTTGCTTCAATATCTCGTATGCAGCCAGGAGCTGAAGGAAACACCCAGTACTTCCGGGTATGGGGATCATGTGATGGCACTGTGCCAATCAGTGCTGTTATACAGGGAGGCCAATACCCTGGGGGAGCTATGACTCCGGAGACTTGTACCCCACGCAGGACTTTCCTCTGATGGCTGAATGGAACCGTGGGGGGGAAGGACAACAAAGGAGAGTGTGTTCCGCTGGGAAGGGGGGCACTAATCCTTTTGTTGCCATAGCTGTTGATCATTCTTGATTAGCACCTCCCCCTTGGCCATGGAATGACAGTGGTGAACCTGGAAGTGATGAACACCTACACAGCAGGGACAATCCGCCAACGGATATGCATTACTTTGTTTCACTACAGTGGATTCCCATGCATTACACCCTCATTGCAACACTCTTCTGTAAAAAAAAAATAAATGTCAGTTTTGACATTTCAATAAAGTTGTAACAAAAAAAAACCCAGAGTGTAATGTGTTGTAATCGGCAGTGATTACTTCTGAGCTCACACCAGTGGTCATGGTAAGACATGGCTGCTTGTGTGAATGAGCGCTCAGGGACATTGGGCATGCTATACACACTAACAAAAAGCATCATCTAAATACTTAAAGGAGAACTATGGGGTCAGAGTTTTTCCCCAGAGTTCTCCTTAGGGTAACGGGAGGACACAAACTAGCGTCCTCCCGCCACCCTAGGGAAAGGGATGTGCATAGTACATCCAGCCAGGCCCACCCCCCTGCAGCTTTCCCGTGACACTTACTGGCAATTCCCAGCTCCAGCTATTACCAGTGACACTATGCAACTCGTGGTGTTGCTCAGCCCCTCTAATGCTAAAGCATGACTGGATGCTACATGACATGCTGTCAAGGATGCATGTGACAACAGGGGGAGGGGGGTGACTGACACTTTATAAGTGAAATTTATTATCAAATGTCATCTTGTAATGCCACATAATTGCCACTAAATGTAGTTGAGCACATGAAAGAAATCCTTATTTTCTTGTAATACTGAATTGTGACCACTAGATGGAGCTGAGGAGCTCAGGAAATCCTTATTTTCTTGTAATACTGAATTGCGACCACTAGATGGAGATGAGGAGCTCAGGAAATCCTTATTTCCTTGTAATACTGAATTGCGACCACTAGATGGAGCTGAGGAGCACAGGAAATCATTATTTCCTTGTAATACTGAATTGCGACCACTAGATGGAGCACAGGAAAGCCTTATTTTATTGTAATACTGAATTGCGACCACTAGATGGAGGTGAGGAGCACAGGAAATACTTATTTGCTATGCTCCTCACCTCCAACTAGTGGCCACAATGCAGTAATACAAGATGACATTTGAAAATACATTCAACTTGTATAGAAAATATAACAAGAATGTTCATTTTTATTTTTTTTACATACATTTACAGAGATTCATAGGGGCCAATGGCTCTGCAAATTGTGTATAAATAGACTTCTATGAGTTGCATGGTGTCACTGGAAGTGGCTGATTGCTGGACAAGTGGCATGCTATGCATGTATGAAGGTACATGTGTTCTATGGCTGGTTAATGTTCAGAGAGTAATTCTCGGGTGACCTTCCACTTTAATGACTTATGAACCTGTTTCAGGAGTGAAGTGACCATGTTCCTGACAAACATCCTGCGGAAAGGCATATCGGGTCGTCAGTGGATTGGCAAGTACAGACGGCCTCGGGTGATCACATGGTGCATGAAGAAGAATCTGACTGAGAGGTTGGCGATAGAAGCCGAGACGGAGTATTGGATAAGCCGGCCCTACATGACCAAAGACCAGGAGTTCCGCCATGCCGCCGAGCGGAGGCAGAGACAGTATGAGGAGGTGAAGGCCCAAAAACGGGCCAATTTCCCCCCACACAAATACTTGGGCGAGCACTTGAATCACCTAAATACTACCAAGAAATGGACTATCTCGTGATTGGTTTGTGCTCTGTGGTTGGCATGCTCGTGGCTCCTAAAACATGTGTTTCCTAAACATGGTGAATTGCTGATTGCTGAAAAGAATGTGATATATTCAAAGTACATTAAAGCAGTTATTCAGTTTTTTTTCTTTAAAATGTTCCATTTTAGTAAATATTTGACACTCTATTGCCTTTTAAATTAGTTTTTCTAGTTGTCACCAGAACAGGAAGTGAGGGGAATGCTGCCTGTGGGGACACCTGTTTTGGTAGCGACCGCTTAAAGTGTGTGAAAACCCTAACAATGAACTTCTCTTATTGGCGGAGGGGAGGAGAGTGACTTGTCTTGCTGTGTGTTTGTGGAGACACACACAGCTTCCTGGCACAAACAAGGGTGACTCCATAGGGAAAGGAGCCCCCCTAAAGCAGGATATCAGGGCCACTGCTAAGGACCAGCTTATCCTACAAGGAAGCAGCATCCCTTGTATGTGATTTCATCACCATGTGAAATAACTGAAAACCCCTTTGACTAATATCACAACATTAGATATTCTTAAATTGGAGACCCCTGTGAAGTTTACCAGTGGCAGTCCATATTTGTTTTATATCAGATCACACCGTGCAACATTTCATCAAACCCATATTTTCAGTACAAAATACAATCAAACTAGTTTTAGTGCAGTAGGCACGATAGGATACCCGTTTCTTGCTAAATATAAAAGACGAGGTCACATCAGAAAAAAAATACATGTACATTTGTGTTGCCCTTTCTGGTGCTTTGGCAACTCACTCCGTAGTGAAAGGCCTGCCGAGGTGCAAGGCATGTAACATGCACAATACACGCAACGCACAGTACCAGCAACCGGTGAATTGGCACGAAGTGGGCATTTCTTCTGCACCCCAGTCTGCGTCCCAAAACTTGTCCCTGAAAGGAACCCACAAAGCTTGTTGGAAAATAAGTTATATTTTTATACTTCAAGAATTCGATTAGTTCTGCAATATATTCAAGACAGATGTGGACATAATTCTGCGATATAATTTATACATCCATAATATAAAAGCAAAAATGTAACAAAAAAAAGGTCAGACGTTCTAATATTTGCTTGGACCGCCTTTAGCTGTGATCACGGCACACATTCTCCGTGGCATTGTTTCGAGAAGCTTATGCAATGTCACAGCATTTATGTCCATCCAGAGTTGTATTTATTTGTCATCAGATCTTGTAGTGATGATGGGAGAGTCTGACCACTGCGTAAAGTCTTCTCCAGCACATCCCAAAGATTCTCAGTGGGGTTCAGGTCTGGACTCTGTGGTGGCCAATCCATGTGTGACAATGATGTCTCATGCTCCCTGAACCACTCTTTCACAATCTGAGCCCGATGATTCCTGGTATTGTCATCTTGGAATATGTCCAATGTGCCATCAGGGAAGAAAAAGTTAATTGATGGGCAAACCTGATCATTCAGTATATTCAGGGAGGTAGCTGGTCTTATTTTTTGGGCACACAATGTTACTGAACCTAAACCTGACCAACTGAAGAAACCTCAGATCATAACACTTCCCGAAATCCAGGTGGTGACCTTATTTTTTTGGGCTAGGTGGTGTATATTTCAGCTTACCAATCCTTAGATGTGGCAGTAAAAAAACTTCTTTTTTCGGGCTTTGTTTTTTCTTTATTTTCACCTGGTGATCCTGCGAATAACAGGCTTCCTGTCCTGAAGTGACAACACTCACCCCTCGCTATATCTATGCAGGGAACAATGGTTGTCACCCAGGCTGGACTTCAAACATGTCTGCCTTTGTTCACCTCCACTGCAAGGTAGATGTGGAGATTACTGTTATAGATTGTTTTATTCTTTCACGTGTATTTCCCCTTTGTTAATTCAAATTTGAGGAATCCCCTGCTATATGTTTGCTGTGTGTTCTCATTCACACAACATACCTCCACATCATTATAAGAAAATATGTCTTGCCTTTCTAGTTGTTTCTTTAGAGCGGGATTGTAAATAGGACTCTATAGAAAGCTTCAATTGCTTTAACTATTTTGCTGCTGGCACTGCTTGGAGATTACTTAATCCCCGCCTAAGAATTACATATTTTCCGGAAGCAGAGACCCTGTAGAATAAAATGGTGGCAGTTGCAATTTTTTATGTCACACAATATAAGCGCACCTGTTTATCAAACCCCAAAAATGCCCTTAAGGTAATTTTAGTGCACATAAACACAAAAGAATACTCAATTTTTGGGAACATATATGTGAGGTTGCGTCAAGTAAAAAGATACCAGATGTGTCTAGTTTCAAAATTGTGAGCACCTGTGAAATGGCAAAAAAACTACAGTACCCATAATCGCCCCTAGGGGACACTATAAAAACAATTACAGGTCATCAGTTTAGAGTTAACAGCAATCAATGATTAGACCCCTAATGTCACCTTTGCACTTCGGTGAAGCTAATCGAGTACAAATTGCTCTTCATCGCAGGCCACAGCATCCGGGCAATGACAGCTCTGAAATCAGAAGTGACAAAATCATCGTCGCTTCCAGATTCAATGGAGGGAATTAGCGAACAGATGTTAACTGGTCTCCCTCTTCTCCGGCAGCCCACACCTGCCACGCCCACAGGAAGGAGGTGCAATGGAACCCGGGATACATGACGACAGGAGCAGCACCTTAGGCAGCCTGTGTAAGTGATCTATAAGGTCCCACTGCTGCTGGCACAAGCCATGTGGCGGCGGCAGCGAAATGGTTAAATAGATGGTAATGTGGAAATAAGGGTCAGACTAAGAGACAGGACATTAACATACAATGTACTACCCAAGCTCTGAGATTTTTAACCCTTTGTTATAAAAAATATATACTCACCCGATCCTCAGTCCTACGACAGAGACCACTTAGCTCTCTTCCCCTCTGCTTTGGCATGTCCCTTGGCATCCTCACCTCTAATACAAGTCAATGGACTTGTATTACATGTGATGATATCAGCAAGGTTTAGTCCGCATGAGCGGGGAGTAGAAGCAGCGTGGACTGGTCTAGCAGCCATGCGCAGCCAAGGATCAAGTGAATATCTTTGTTATTTTAGACCAGACCAAAACAAGCTTTATTTCAAGGCAAGGTGCAGTAACCCATAACAACCAATTATTTCATGGCCCTGACTGGTTAAAAAAAAAACCTTTGCTGGGAAAAACAGAGGGACTGCCAGTGTTGACCTGACCTTCAGCAAATTCTGGTTGTCATGCTGAATCTCTGGCTTCAATACTTTGGCTATTCCAGATCAAGTATGCAGATATGGACTTCTTTCTTGATGAGCGTGTTTGTGGCTTATAAATTGCCAATGTCCGTTCTCACAGCGGCCGTATACCACCGTGTCAACTGGGGGGCCTTATTGGCACCCCCAGACTCCAATTTTGGCCCAGAAATAAAAACCATTCATAATGGACCTATGGCCACGCTCCCTATTCTCCATTTCCTGTACTCTCTATTCTTTAGTGTCCCTCCAGCCTTGTGTTATTCTCTTACCTCCTATCAGGTCCCCCCACCGTGCTACCCCCTAGATCAGGCTCTGCATCCTCCATCATTACAAAAGAAGTAATATCCAACTGACCCAAACCCTTCAGTCTTATAGTCACAATTAAACACCCCCTCTTCCACACTCCGTAAGCATTACCAGTAGGCAGCAGACCTCTTCCCACTTATGGAGCGTCCACCCAGAGTTATTTCACAGCAGCATAGCCGAGCGCTGAGGAGAGAGAGAGCTGCTGGGTGTGAGATCCTGGCCGAGCGGGTCTCACTCTCTCCTTACCGCTCGGCAATGCGGCTGTGGCAGCGGCTCCCCCCCGCAGCGCTTCACTTCTCAGATGTCTGCTGCAGAGGATCCAGAGGAGAAGCTGCAGCCCCCCCCCCACGTGCCAGAGGCAAGAGCTCCAGTCACCTCACCCTTGCTCTTTTATCTCTACATCCACAACTGTGGGGATATCCAGCCTAATTGCAATGCAAATGACTAATATAAAAGTGCAAGCCTATTTTTGTATAATGTGAGTTTATTTTTTTTATTTAGTGAAAATGTGCTTCCAGCCTTCCCACTCCAGTGCTCTGTGCTGGCATAACTGAGTAGCAGCCACACCAAAGGTGTCCTCACACACTTATTAGACACACCTCTCTCTTTCTCTGCAATATAAGGGCAGTTAAAGTGCACTGGACTGAGTGGTGAAATTCTGGTGACTACTGGACTGTGCAATGACATTGAAAACACTGCTATAGTAGGAAAATGGATGAGAACTGACTATACATCAGTAGCATTTCCTTTGAAAATGTTTCATTTGATTTTCTAATGGTTCGTGAGGTCTAATCAACGTCCGTTGAAGGCCCAGGATTGAACGTTTTTCTTGTTTCATATCTGAACTAACAAAATTCGAACCGTAAATGTGATTTTCTTTAGGGACAAAATCGTACATATGTTAATGCACATGTGCGCGGCCCAAAAGAAACCTGTTTAATACATCTGGGATTCCATTTCCATTAGCCGGTCTGGACAAACCTTTTAAGGGCTTTTCAAGCAAAATTAGTTGACTCAATGATGGCATCATCGCATGTTCTGACAAACAAATTTGAATGAATGTTCGATCGAAGTTCTAACCGTGCATGGCTAAGAAAATGGATGTTGTTAGCTGAATGTCTATTTGTGAGAATATTTATTTCTGCGAATTCAATTGGACTTTATTGGTTGTGTTATAGGGGATTCCTGGAGGTTTAGGCCCCGTTCACACTTGAGCTGAGAGTCTTTTTGGGTGTTTTTATTTTCTTTTTACTTCTAGCCATAAAGCTAGATACTAGGCAGAACATTGCTTTAAAAACACACTGTATGCACTTTTGTTGGAGCCAAAATACCCGACTGCTCCAAAAGGAGCTCATGTACTTTTTTGGGCTACAGGCATTTTGGTACCAGCGACAAAATGCTTATGAGTGAACAGGGACCATTGAGAACAATGGTGTTCCTCCTCTCCAGCGTTATAGCACTACCAAACGCTCAGGTGTGAATGGGGCCTAAGGGCTTGTTCACACCACTTACTGTGCATTCCAGCACGATTCACTGCTGGAACGCACTGTATCACATCCTGGCCGGCTTCCTGCATTCTGGGGCTGGAGGGGGGCGTAGCTTTGCATTGAACTCAATGTCACCGCAGCCACGCCCCCCCATAACTCCCCCCCGTCCGCAGTGCGATCGCCTGCACCAGAACGTGTGGCGCATTAACGCCTGCGTTCCAGTCCAGTGGGATCAGAAAAAATAGTACTCGCAGCGATACCATGGATGTGCGTTTCAACAGCTAACCGCTCTGGAATGCACTGTATCTGGTGTCAACAAGTCCTGAGGGTTAGGTAACTAAAGCTGGCCATACACTATGTGAAGATCAGCTGGTTCTTGATGAACCAGATGAAATCCACACCGTGGTCCCCAGCGGGACCCTTTTCAGCTGATCGAAGCAGCCGGTCAGAAAATATTTAAATGAACAGTGTAAGCAGCCAGTCAGCTGCTGGTTCTGTTCAGGTATGCTAACAGCGACTGCCAGCCGCCGTCAGAATACAATGAATATAGCGGGAGATTCCGCAATCCCTGCTCATAAGCGTTGATGGAGGAATCTGTTATACAGTATCTTAATTCAGCCTGAGGGTTGAAGGAAGAAAATATTACAGTGTATGGCCAGCTTTAGCATGACATTTTCAGGTGTGAGCATTGGTTTTTATTTTTAAGGCTGTGGAAACCTTTTGGCACCAAAATGCGTCAGAATACCAAGACAAGCAAAACAAATGGCAAACGCACTCATCAATTCTTTACCAGCTCTACCGCAAGGTGCACACAGAAGGGCTTTAAACAGTAACAGCAAAAAGTTTTCCCAGCACACTCACCAGCCAGCATGCAAAAAAAACTTGTCTCACCACTAAAGGTTGAAAACAGAGGTTTAGATACACGTCTTCTGCAGAAAATGTGAAAGCCGCACATCCGCGCCAAGGCACCTCTATAGGACCGCACTAAAACCTCTGTTTTTAACCTTAGCGGTGAGACAAGTTTTTTTGCATGCTGGCTGGTGAGTGTGCTGGGAAACTTTTTGCTGAGAATACCAAGACAGACTTATTAAGTGTGGAAAAATCAAACATACTGGCACTTGGGAGGCGTTTCGAATGACTTTTGGACAGGGCTGTATTTAGACCTTGTGCCGAACTAGGTACACCTGCATAATACCCTTTTTTTTTTTTCTCGTCATATTTTTTGCAAAAACTAAATTTATAAGCAGAATGTTGACTTCTTAGAGAACAACACTACAATTCGACTGTTCCGGTCATCAAACCAAAGAAAGATGATTGCACGGGTTTGTCCAATAGAGACTTGTTACTTCTTTCAGCAAACCCTGCTCCCCTTTTTATACAGTTTCTTTGCTGGGTTTATCTGCCTCGATCTAAGATGTCTAGATGTGGCCAGAAAAAGGGAGAAATATCATGAACAAAAGATGCTTGGGAAATACAGCCCTGTTATGTTTGAAATGCTCTTTTGGAGCCTACATTCATAAGACACTTTGTAGATTTAAAAACTATAAAAACATATACATTAAGGATATTCAATACAAAATATCTAGACCAGTAAATCTTTGCAAGAGCAGGCATGTCCACTCAAGGTGAGGATACTCATATTTTGCACCTATTGCAACAGCTTACAATACAAGGATGAGTCCACACTAGCAGCAAATAAGATTAAATTGACAGGTTATCTTGATAAGAACACCACTGCTTCCATTGATACTTCTCTTTACTGTACTTCTCAGCTGTTTCATTCACCTGGGAGAGCCCTTGGAAGGACCTGGTACTTCCAGGTATGGGGAAGCATGTGACCTTCTCCCCTCCACCCATGAAGCAGTGCTCGGCCGCTGAGGGACAAATTGCCAGGTCTGAACACTGACACATATGGGTAAAGGAATAGTCAATAGCCCTGCATAATCTCAGGTGCCCCCCACTCCCCAGATGGTCTGGGAGTGCAGGCAAAATAAGTATCATCGGAAGAGGCGGCCAGCTATCAAGAGGACCTCACTTTGCCTTAAATGGGCAACATTACAAATTCACTTTCAGCATACTTTTTGTAAATGCTAACTTAGTTCAGGATTCAATTCTGGCTCTTCCACATCTAAGTCTTTCTGGTTTTTATTATGTTCCTGACATTGTCTTATAACTCTTCCAGATCAGTGAGATCTACAACAACCTTAATGAACAAGGTATCGTCTTTAATATAGCAGCCATTCTTTGGATTTTCCAGCTGGTTGTGAGACACAAAGCGTGGACACCCGGAGGCAATGTTCATTTCACCTTCCGGCCTTTTAAAACTGCTGCTGTGGGGGTCAGCTTTGAAAACATCCATTATAGTGTTCTTCTTCCCACCCTGGTCAAGAAGCATCAAAGTGACCTTCTGTTTGAAAGGCCAGGAGAGGAGTGAGTCAAATTCTCCTTTCATGACTACGAAGTACAGCGATAAATAGTTTCCTTTGCCTGAACCATCCCCGTTGAGGTAGGCCCGAGCACAGAGGCGGTAACCACACCGGCTGGTGTAGAAGTGTTGGCTGAAGATGGAGACCACACGACCTTCCACCGCCTCCCTCTTCTTCCTCTCGTAGTCTGTGATTTTCCAGATCAGCTTGCCATTGTAACAGGTGCTCTCTAAAAGTTTGAATCGATCGTCATTGCTGCTGAGCTGAGCTTTGTGGAGGTTTATCTGCATATTTTGCTTGTTGAACTGGTTCTCCAGATTATCTGATCAATAAATTAAAGAAGAGTAAAGACTGTTATACTAGCTGCAAAGACAAGGCTCTCTAATGATTAGCAAAAAGAGAACTAAGTACATTCAGTTGTTACCAAGATTCATTATGGCAAGCAGACTAAGCTCCAATCAACCCCTTTTCTATGAAGAGAGGGCACAAAGCTCTCATTATGTATCTCTACCCCATACTGTAAGATCCAGTGACCAGTAATTTGCTTCAGGATAAATCAGAAGCTTCCCCATCTGTCATTCTCCTAGAGGCCACTCCTTGAATGTGGAAGATGCCTCAATGAGTACACAGGTAGCAAGATCTTTGCTATCTCCTGTTCCAATCACAGACCTACCACGTTTTATCTACCCAGCTCCGATCTGATGTAATAGGTGTAGTCTGATGGGCTGAGTCACCCTCTAGCTTTTTTGTACCTTGTGATTTCAAGTGGCAACATTCTCCCACCGCCTTCGATTGTTCCCAGCTCTGTTACTACCGGTACCTACTGTAGGGTTTCCCCAAGCCTTCATAATTTAATGGAAAATTATAATGGTATTTTTATTGCTATGCTTTTATTCTTATAGTTACTTAGCTTAGAAAAGACACATATCCGGGGAATTGTGTTATTTTTTTCATAATAAGCCTTTCACCAGCTGTAAACTTGTTGAAAGCCTGCAGACTGAGAAGCCAGACAGGCACCATCTCTACCTACAAAGTAGTAAATGACAGTAAATTACTTATCTGTGTTTGTTATTTAAGATCCTGCTATTCGGGTCAGTATTCACAACACGACAGTTCTCTTAAATCATGGAGAACCAGACATTTGAAACTTGCTGACACAAATAGGTAAATCATCTTTCTCTGCAATATTTATTATTTACCTGGCCACAAAAAGCATTTTTTAAAAAGAAAGGTTGGTTTCCCTATATGTTTTTTTTTTTTATGGCCAAGCAGATAATGTCTTATTGTCTTCAAATCAACACAGCAAAGCCCAAAAATATGTGTTCTCAGGGAACAAACTGCAAGAACAGGTTAGAAAGATGGAAAAAGGATTGCCGGTGCACAGCTCTTTATACCACAAACAGGAATGCTTATGTGACTAAAGTATTCCTCTGTATGGGAGGAACAAGCATTGTGACCTGGTTGGACTGCTCATGTACAAGCCTCTGTTCTCTAATGCCTATGGCTAGCTTTGGATTCCTGCAACAGTAGACATATATCCACTCCTCCTATTGTGTTATCCATGACAAGAAACAATTTAAATAGGAGAGTTGGAACCCTAATGGCAGGTGTACAAACCTGGGAAGTTAAGCACAGTCTATAAAAATATATTGGTGATTTAGCTCTCCTGGTGTTTTGGTCGTCTGACCATCTAAAAAGGAAACTATTAGTATACAGCTTTATTTACTAAATACAATAAAGACAATATTACAACCTGTTACTATTCTGTCCTTTCTTTAGATCATTCTTGTTCCCCAGTTACTACAAGTGGATACATACCTATGCGTTCTTTGTAGTTCTCAATGGCAGTCACCTTCTGCTTGATACACTCAATGGCCTCAATTAATGGCTTCAAGTCATGGCGGCTTTGTTCTTCACTTATTAACTGCACTAACTGCATCACCTGATCTTCCAGCCAGGAAGCCTTCTCCATGTAACTGGCCAGAGTCTAGGAAAGAAAAAGCAGCTGACATTTGGTACAAAGTTACTTTACACAGGGTCTGATTTTTCACCTTATCCAACAAACATGTGAGCATTGGTTGCAATGGCTGAGAAGTGTATGTACACATCCTGGGTGTCCTCATTTTAAAAACCTCAAAGCTATATAAAGTATTTTTGCAAGCTGATGACTCTTATGTCACAGGAGAAGAATAAGTCCTATGATGAGTTGATGAAATTTAGAAACGATGCCATAAACTAGCCAATAGCTCCAAGCTCCAGATTTCAAATGTTTGGCTTGTTTGTGCTCACCTAGGTGGTGATAGCAAGCTTATCTGGTGTTTGGAGAGGCTTAATAGAACACAAAGATTTATCAACCTATTGGGGACTGTCTCTGGGGGCGGGCTCAATTCTTCCTTTACAATGGGTCAGAGATAAAATGTCAATGTATGGCACATATGGTGGATTTAATAACACCATCCATCTGCAGGGCCGGATTTACTCTCCCTGCCGCCCAAAGGCCAGGTTCCGCAATACGCCCCCCTGCCACGGCTTCCTCATTGCTGGCGCCCGCAACTTCCCTACAAGGACACCGCTGCCGCCCTCTGCGCCCTGCCGCCCCGAGGCCGGGCCCCGGTGGCCTTGCGGGAAATCCGGGCCTGTCCATCTGACATGCCCAGGAAGATGCATTTTAAGCTACATTAGACAGAGGTGCTGTAATAGGTAGCTGCTTGCAGCACCCTTTCATTTGACAGATTATTTGACAGTCAATCTAAAGTGTCACAGTCCAATATATGTTAAAACACATTTTTCAATTTCAAGGATGCCTTTAAATTGTATGATAATGCCCGGCTTTAACAACCTTTGGTATTCCTAGTGGAACAAATACATGTGTGAACTGGTTGATGTGTGTGGGATATGTACAGTATGTCCTGCATGTGCTGTATTTCAAAGGCAATCTATCATCAGCACACAAAAGGCTAGCAGTGATAGGCCTTCTTCCCACCTGTGAAGTGGTGATGTGATTTCCATTGGTGCCACCAAGCTGCCCAAACTGACGACATTCCTTCTCACACCATTTGACTGTGGTAGACAGCTCTTGAATTGTGCTCTCTTTTAGTTCCAGACTTTGTTTCAAATCCAGCATCTTGTGAAAGAATACAATATACTGAAATCAGTGAAGTTGCATACAAACTTGTGAGACAGGTAAATACTTTTATGCCTGTAGTCCATAACAAAAACTCAGTTGAGCGAATGCTTGGTAAATGCTGAAAAGACCTGCATTTCTACCCTTATTCTGTTTGCTGGTGTACGCCACTCTATCCCTGATGTTGCTAAAGCTGGTGCCATCTTGTTTGAGTCTTGGAGTTTACTTGCCTTATCCATCTGTCCACCCTCCACGGACATCATCCACAAATTCCCAAGCAAGGGATTTCAGTAAGGAGAAAGACTAGTGTGATAGAGAACACCTAGGGCTAGCGCTGACGTCATCCCGACAAGCTGCTCTGTAGGTTCCGGCATGGCAGGGATGTTATGAATGAATAAGTAAGTGTACATTACCAGGTAAAATAATGCTGATACGTTAGCAAGGTGAAGGCTTTGGATATATTTGTGCTGTATGTCAGAGGGGACACAGAGCAGCACCCAGCGAGGAGGAGAGAAACTAGAGATGTACCACGTTTTTCCGGGCAAAAATTGGCCCTTTTAGCATTTTGTTTCAGCGGGCAAAATTTCAGTGCATCCCTAGTGACAACTCTAAAATTCTGGATTTCTGCTCTCCTTCTGTCTCTGGGACAATGGTCATCAGAACAAATGGAAGGGTGAATCTGCCCAGCAGAGATACAGACAGAGATTTTACTCGACAAACTGTCTAACCCCTTTCTACTTTATTCAGAAGCAGTGGTCTCCCTGCAGAGGGCTGACACGTCTCCCTAATAGGTCAGACCTGTATCTCTGCACTCATAATAGCTCATGCTCGCTGCTGATTGGAGAGCTCTAGCTCTGACTCAGCAGAGGGCGTGTCATACTTCTGTAGAGTGACCTGCATGCTGGCAGGGGACAGGCTTTTCTGCTCAGGCTATGCCGCTTTTTAAAGAAAACAAACTTTACAGTTACATACTAGACAGTCTAGGGATGACAGCTCTGCTCCAAAGAACTCACAATCTAGGATGTGCCTGTTCATAAATAAGTGTTTACCTGCTTCTCAAGTTTTGTGTTTCTGTTCAGTACATAGAGCATGTGGTCTTTAAGAAAGGTCTCTTCATGCACTTTCAGTTTTCCCCTTTTTACCTGCAAAGATAAAAGAAAAGCATTGTAACGTTTAAGCTGAACATTGTAAAGTTTAAAGCAGAACTCCAGCCAAAAAATAAGATAAAAATGATCAGCTCTTTTGAGTGCCCCTGTGCCCAGACTGTAGACATTAAACTATTTACATAGGAGTCAATTTATAAATCTTCCACCCAGCCACATGCTGGGTGAATGCCATTCCTGCCCCTAGATGAAGCTGATGAGCTTAGGAATTTCCTATGCTCTTGGCTTCATATAGTAACAGGAATGCAGCATTTGTACAGTGTGTGGCTAGGTGGAAGTTTTATAACTAACCTCATTGTCTTGATAAACTTTAAAGGAGCTCTCTAGCTGCTTTTATTGTGGAGTTATTCACTTTATGCAATCGAAAGTAATAGAGCTAAGATTTCAGTGCCTGTGATGTGAACATTGTAAATTTCTCTGCCATGCTCACAACTTCAGTGCTAAATGAATGATTGTTTCATAGCGTCTTTACTGCTGGTTCAGAGCACGCAAATACTTTAGAATGCATGATATGGGCACAGGTTCACATTAAAAGAAAAAATACCACAAAACCAATTTTTGCTGAAATATTTACATTCAACCCAAAGATCTCCCCTGCAGTATTTTTGCTATTCTGTGAATGGATAAGGGAAGATTATGTGGTTTACTTGCCGTTCCTCTGCCCCGTCCAACACCTTAAAAATTCAGTGAAAAGTATACATGGCATTTTGTAAATGGATGAGGAGAGAGGAAGGTTGGGAGCCAGCTACTCTCTTCTTTACTATACATGAGTCAAAACTGACAGTCTGAAGCTCCTAGCTGACAGTAGTATCATACAGGAATAGAACCAACATTTTTTTGCATCCCCAGCTGAAGTTGACAAAGTATTACACATAACTTCTCTGGACCAAACACAATTAAAAAAGTAGTTTTCCTGGAGATTCACTTTAATGATGTATTAATGATTGCAGAGTTGTATTCATTTGCGTCTTTTATATCTGCTTTATATGTTCAGCTTCAAGCGGCACTCTAGCCCAAATATTTTGTATTGGATTCAGTGGTTATAATCTGTACCAGGTTTTTATTGTCTTTGTCCCAACTGTGGAAATGAGTGGAAATCTCTCCAAGGAGGACGCAAGCTGAAATTAAATCCTGACAGGGATTTTTAACCCTTTCCCAAAAAAATTTGTTCATTCCTGTGTTTCCCCACTTGGCAGATTATTCTCTCACTTTCCGTGCTAGTGATCTCATGAGGATGAGTCTCCCCAACAGGGTAATAGTAGCTAAAATCTGACAGAGGTTCTAATCTGCCTTCCCCATATATCCAAAATCAGGGGCATAACTACGAATCTAAGGCCCCATACAGAAATTTGGATGGGGCCCCCTGGCTTACTCTCTTTGTAGAAGCTGTCAGTGACAACTGTAACAGTACATGTGATTGACCTTAAAGGAGAACTATGGGGTTAAGGCTTTTCCCCATAGTTCTCATTAGGGTAACTGGAGGACACAAACTAGCGTCCTCCCGTCACCCTAGGCTCAGTATACCGCGAGCTGCTGAATCGGATCGGAGCGGGGAGGGAGGAATCCAGCCCCTCCCGTCACGGCAGAGAGCCGTGACAGGATCGAGAGGTGACCGAACGCCGGTATGTGTTCGCTTACATCCCGATCTACTGAGCCGATCTGCGACAGTCTCATTGGCACAGGTCGGCTAGAACTATGAGGTGAGTGGAAAGCACTCACCTCATAGTTCTCCTTTAATATAAAGTATGTCTAAATCAAAGGAGGACAGAAGGAAAACTGTCAGCATAGTAAGTACGCTAGTAGGGAGCAAGCCTTGGATAAAAAGGTTATAGTTGTAATCAGAGGGCGCTAAGAGCTAGCAAATGCTTCTTACTGCACAGAGGAGGATCTGTGACTAGCAATGACTTCAGCCCTTCTATGCTGAAAACGTAACGTGTCACGAAACCCTTGTGGTAAAAATCAATGTGGAAGTGATATATAATATTATATATACTGTTTTCTGCACTGATATTTCGAAAATGTATTTTGCATTAGTTGATCTGCCCCCTCAATCCTCATAGGTTTGGTTTCCAGTCTGAGGTATAATCGCTATTACATGCATTGCTCAACATTCAGCAATGCGCACGCGTCCTGGCCAGTTTACTAGCTGGAGGAGGTTGTATGCACATAATATGTAGTTCACAGTGGGAATGCACCAAGAAGAGTGGTATTTATCTGCTGCTGTTGTTTAGATCTCATTTTTGTGTCCAGATTTGTGATTAGATATATGGATTAGCTCCACTATATAGCCACAGCTTTGTGGACACCTGGCCATCACACCTATATGGAGAACATTCTATTCCAAAAACATGGGCACGAATATATTGTTTTAGTGGTCCCACCCACCTATGGAGGCTATAGCTTGGCGTTCCCAAATACTTTTGCCCATATAGTATATGTGGTTCCCTGAGCAGTGGATATATTTTTTGGAAATCTAGTAGCCAAGGATGACACTGACACTTTATTTTCACCAATATTGAATCAGTCACATTATCTGGTACAACACCTTTGAAACACGAATATGTATTGTTTTAGCTGCTTACCTTTACATAGCAGCCATAATGTGTAAAAGGACAATCTACGTCGGCTTCAGGACAGATGATGAAATGCTCATCCAACTAAAAAACAAATATATCCACTTTAAAAAAAAAAAGAATCACAGAGAAATATATAAAAAAAAACATTCTGATGATTGATCTTTGATAGGACACACAACTGGTAGCAGTGGGGCTTGTCTTTAAAGGTATACTATGGTTAAAATTGGATATTAACCCCTTCGTGACGGGAGACGTACACTGTACGTCCAGCCACAAAGGGACCAAATGACTTGTCACGTACACTGTACGTGACGAGTTATTTGCTGCACTAGAAGGCTGCTAACCGCTGAGAATCAGCCGTTACCTTTCAGTAATAGATGTCTAACTATCTAGAGATCCATTACTGAAAGGGTTAACCTTTTTCAGACACCCGATACCTTAATATCGGGTGTCTGAGAGTCACAGCAAAGCAGACACACATGTCGGCTTTTGCCGGCATTCTGACAGCTCGTATAGATCGAGAGATATCTCTCTCAAGCTATACTGGCTTTTTTTTTTTTTATCTTTTGACTTTCAAGAATAGATACAAAATGTTATATATTAGACACATAATGTATCTATTCTTGAAAGTAGAATGTTTAAGTTTTCTGAAACATTCACTGACAGCTGAATCCTGAACTGCTGCAGGATCAGTGTCACTAACTTATTATCGGCTGTTCTGAAGTTTGAAGCAGCCTGATAATAAAAAAATAAATAATAAAAAAATGTATTAATTTATCAAGCAGTAATAGTGAGATTAATTCACAATGACTGCCTGATATAATTAAATAAATAAAATTTGTCAGTATAAAAAAAGTGAAAAGTGTAAATAAATTAAAAAAAATAGTGAAAAGTGTAAAAAAATTAAAAATAAGGGACAAATAAATGAATGTATGTATTGCATTTTTTTTTAGCTGTGCTGGTTTTGTTAAAAAAAAATACTACAAATCAAAACTGGGAAAAAAAGTTTTTTTTTTACGTTTTTTCCTCTTTTTTTAATTTGTATTTGTCCTAAGTGAGGCGTTAGACACACATATGTGATATAAATATATAGCCCTATCTGTCCTCTAAAAAACAATATATAATATGTGTGGGTGCACTTTGTAAGAAAGTATATTACTGACGTGGAAGAATCACACAGCAAAAATGTCAAAAGTGTGTCAGTCATTTACGAACAGAAACCAAAAACAAGCTCAGTCATGAAGGGGTTAAAGAGATTATAATGTATTTTCATTGGCACAGAGGGTTTTATTTATAAAGTGGTCTCAAAAGAGTCACACAACATTCACCCAGGATCAGCCCCAGTTATAAAAATGTGTGAATCTTGGGTGAAAATATTTATAAATAGACCCTTCTGAGGTACTATTGCAGTATTTATCTTAAATCTCAATTAAGTTTAAATAAGCTAAATATATTCCAGATACATGAAAACAAATGATGTTCAAAGTTTAGTTTTGAAAGTAGCCATAGTCGGAAAGCCTGTCCCTTGCCAACATGCTTCTGAGAATGATCATGAATCTGCTGTGTGGAAGCAGCGGCCTCTCCACAGAGGTCTGTCACCCCCCTGCTAAGGTCATACTTATAGCTCTGCAATCAGCAAAGCTCATGCTCCCTACCTATTTGAGAGCTCTAGCTTTAAAAGGAGAACTATGAGGTGAGTGAAAATCACTCATCCTCATAGTTTGAGCTGAAGTGTGACAATGAAACTGTCACACGTCGGCTCAATAGATCAGGAAGTGAGCGAATACATACCGTCACTCGCTCACTTCTCGATCATCTCCCTGCAGAGAGTGGTGACTGTCAGTCACGGCTCCCTGCAGGGATTCCCCCCTCCCCGCTCCGATCCTCCAGAGCTGACTAGTAGTGATGGGCTCGGGCGTGTTCGCAGCTCCACGTGCCGAGCCCGCCAGGAAGCTGACAGCGCCAATCACAGGCACTGAGACATATCCCGATCTCTGCAACTGCGGACCAGGATAATGTCTCAGTACCTGTGATTGGCGCTGCGGCGCTGTCAGCTTCCTGCTGCTGTAGCTCGTGATATACTGAGATTTGGGTAATGGGAGGACTCTAGTATATGTCCTCCCGTGACCATTAGAGAACTATGGGGAAAACACTTATATAGTTCTCTTTTAACTCAACAGGGGTGTGTTGAGCATCTGGAGAAAGCCTACTGCTTTGACAGAGAGAGCAAGGGTCCTTCTCTACAGCATGCTGGCAGGGTACAAGCTACATTTATCCTTGTTATGGGGACAACTCTAAAATACATTGTCCCTTTCTGTCTCAATGACAAAATACACAGGGTGAATCTACCTAGCAGGGATGTAGGCAACACTTAAAACCAAACAGGAGTTCTAAACCTTCCCTACTCTAATCATTACATAAAAAAAAAGTTTTGACTATACATGCAGTTTAAGAGAGCCTCCCGAAAAGCCAATATATTACCTCGTCTCTTGAACAAGTGTGACTGCAGTTGTTAGGGCATGAAACTGGATACAAAGGGCAATACTTTTTCATGTGAACCTAAAATAGAAAATAAAAAACTTCTTTGTTAAATAGAGAGAGAGTAATCTCTCAGATTCTGCAAAATGATCAGTGTTAGGGACGGATTGAGA